ATTTATGTCTACAGTACAGGGGCCATAACAGGGGCCAGGATAAGTTCAAATGGGGCATTGGCCCCTGTTGTCACCCTATCTAGAACCTCCCATGCTCTGAGTCATATAATATTTTTGCAGTTGCTCCATAATATTAAGTATATTAAAAACGGGATATTATTTTAGGGTACTAAACTGTGATGTTATGTGTGCTCATATCAGTGCAATCCTAACATGATTTGTCATCTAATTTCCCTAGCCTTAGGATGGCAGTAAGTCCTGACCACACACAAGATGATGGAGTTTCTAAGACCACAGCCATTCGCCTTCAAAGCTACTTACACGGAGGAACATCCAGCCTGCTGTCGGCACTTCCAACTGTTTTGGTTTTTCCTGTCTACAAAACCATTTTTCGACAACAGATCCACAACACTCCAGTGCGCCAGGCGGTAGGACAGCTTTATAAAGAAGGACCTGTGAAGCTCTACAGGGGCGTGGTTCCACCACTCCTGATGAGAACCCTGAATGGTACTCTACTCTTCGGCTTCCAGGACACACTCCTCCGTCATCTTTCACTGTCAGCCCATAATGCCATCTTTACCGCCGCCCTACCTGCTTTGGCTGGATGTGGTGCAGGTATAGCAGAGGCCGTGGTCTTCACCCCATTTGAACGTGTACAGAATGTTCTGCAAAACAGCAAAAATGACAGGCATCTACCCTCCTTGAGGAGTGTTCTCATCAGCCTGAAGGAGCAGAGGATAAGCCAGGGGTACTACAGAGCCTTTCTGCCCATCACAGTCCGCAATGCCCTCGGCAGCTCCCTGTATTTTGGCCTAAAGGGTCCGGTGAGTGCCATTGTGGCAGGACATGGCCTCTCTCCCATGGCTTCCTCATTCGTCTCAGGAACTATGACCTCCATGGCCATCAGCTTGACTCTGTACCCTATGTCTGTGCTGGTAGCAAACATGCAGGCACGGGTGGGAGGAGAGAGTAAGGGTGTCATGGCATGTTGGCGGGCAATGTGGAAATCCCGAAATCACAGCGTGGTTCTTTTGTATCGAGGGGGCACCCTTGTTATTCTCAGGTCATGCATTACCTGGGGCATCACCACAGCTATTTACGACAGACAAGTGAAATGATCCTGCTTAATATGAAAGTGCTTAAAGGTGCCATTATGTTTGCATTAACTTCTCGTTGTGTGCAAATATGATAAACAGCTTCAGTCTTTGAATCTGGAAAATTTTTCGAAGCAGTTACTTTTGTTTTCGATTCAGGCCTTTCTTACAGGAAATATGCATACCTGTTATAGTGAATCTGAGGTGTGGGTTGTGGGAGTTAGAAATGATGAAGGAAGTCATGACCTTTGAGCAAAGGTGAACAACTAACGTAAACTACTGTAAGCCACTTGTTAGAATTATTCTGAGCTTAAACCTCAAGGATGTATTAAAGGGAGGATTTAAGACTTTTAGAATTAGGTTTGTAAAAAGCCACAAGTAATCAGTGTCTTATGTGCAGAAGAAAACTCTGGAATCTTGAATCAAGATATTCAACCAATACTGGACCCAGTTCACAGTTTTGCTGTTTTGAAAATGTCAATACTTGTAATAGTTATTCATCTGTTTTCATGATGCAAGAAAGACTGAAAGTTACTTGATTACATATTAAATAAGTTAATGCATTTTATATACATTACTGTCATAGGAGTCATTTAAAGATCTGATCTGTTCATTGCACATGTTGTTCAAGGCATTAGCTTCAGTCTCCCGGACAAATGAATCTGGATTTACTCTGAATCAAGATGCCAGAAGTTATCTACTGTAGATCAGATATTAAGTGCGCATGACATTAGAAGAGAATCCAACCTAAAAATATCAAGCTCTGCCTTTAAATCATTGTAGCTCAACTGCCTTACTGAAAAGAAGAAACTGTCTGTTTAATGTGTCGCTGCCTAATGAGGGAATATTAATAACCATGTTACTCAAGTTCAATGTTACACAAGAAAAAAAGGTGCTGTAAAAAAACGTGCCTATGTTATCGTAGGCTAATTGTTTGTTGAACTTTTTCAAATGTTTTTGTTTTTAACCCTGTAATGCCAAATGTATCATATTTGAAACATACGGTTTCTGAAATGTTTTGCGTCTGACACCTTTTGAATAATTTAATGGTAAAAACTTTGCTCAAAATCCTATTGTACACAATCAGATATGCCTGATAACAGAGGGCAGAAGACTACACAAAAAATAATCTTGACTAATCGCTTAGTAATAAATTATTAATATCAAAAATGTATTTCTGTTTTTTCTTTTTACATATTTTGTTAAAAGGCCAAATAAGGACTTCAAACAAAAAAAAAAGTAATTTGCTGTTTTGATTTATTCTTGGATCGGGCTTTAAAGGGTTAACTAGAAATAAAAACACATTTAGGAGCTTAGATCGGGCCTTTATTGAAAAAAAAACAACAACATAAAAATAGATCAAATAACAAAGCAGTAAAATGGATTAGATTTTTTTATGCCCACAAAAGTCCCCAATATTAAATTTAAACCAAAAAGCTTCTTACAGGAAAAATGTGACATTCCATCAGGACAAAAGAAGGATTACCTTTTAATAAACTCTGTAATCCTTCCCTGAGCATTATTTATAAAAAAAAAAAAATCTAAGGTACAGCATGATAATATGTCACTTGTTTTCCTGTATTTTCTTTTTTGTTGATATAGAGAGTTTGTTTTCTTTTTTAAAACAGTGTTTTTGGACGTTTTCTAATCATCCAGAAGAAACATTAATAAAAAATTTTGAAATGCTTTTTAGATGTTTTACACTATGTTTCAGTCTGATGTTTTCATTGTTTATTGCCTCTGGGATTTTCGTAGAGGAAGAATTATTTTTTTAATGTATTATGATTTTTTTTTTACTGATGACTTTTTCTAAGTGCTGAAGCAACTCACCTGATTTCAGATAATAAACTTTACGTGTTTTTTTTTATTTTTTTTTTATTACTTTAACACTTGTATGCATGTTTTTTATGTAGAAATACAATTGAAACTACATGTTTACATTTTTTTCTTATTCTTACATTGATTTCCACCAAATGTTCTGATTTTGTATCAGTTAGTTCAACAAATTATCAATCATTTGCTGCATGATCGGTTTTTCTCTGATTTAATCAGTGAAAGAATATTGTTGTTTATTAATATGAGATAATAGTGCACCCCATTAAGTATTTAGTTTGAATGAAGAAAAAAAATCACATAAGAAAGTCTGGTCATATTCTAATGTCAGGAAAAAAAGTAATTAATTTCAACTACAGAAAGTTAACATATTAAATTAATTTTAACATTTAGGATTTAGGTTCACCTCACAGTAACTTGAACCATTGACTAAATGGGTTCCCTGATAGGATTTGGGCAATTCTCTTGCAAACTGTCTCAATGGAGGTGTTGTGAGGAGGTGTTTGTGATGTTTTTCCTTAAGTTGAATTTTTGGAGATTATAATTAGCCAAAACCAACAAAAGAAAAAGCATGTGGTGTATTTTGAATTTATTTATTTCATTTCTATTTTTCACTTTTGGTTCAAATGAATGCACATTTAAAATTGTCAAATTGCAAGAGAGAAGAATTTAAATATTTATAGGGCAGGTTACTGTTTTTGATCACTTGCATCCCCCTCCGTGAGGTCTAGAAGCACAAGATGTATATCCAGTCATTACGCAAAGATACTGCTACATGGCTGTGCATCTTATTTTGCCGTTTGACCAATTAGATGAGCCCTTGAATGATATATTACTTTAAATTAAGTTGGAAAAAAGTTAAAAAGTCAAGAAAAAAAGGTAAAAGGCTCATTTAAAAGTTAAAAAGTAAAGTTAAAAAAATAATAAGCATAGTTAAGAATCATATTTAGGTTTATAAGCTAAATAATGTAAGTACTGGTAGCAGCATTAGTGCCTCTAAAGTTATGTTGGACCAAAAGTGTTTCTTTTACTCTCAGGGTGTTTTTCATGAATTTCTTATGGAAGCACTTATTTTTCTTAATATATTTGGGCAAGTTGGTCTTTTTTGCCATCAAATTATCCATATTTTTTCAATGTTGGGTAATATGGTCTTGTCCTGGATTCCAATAACACTATTGGCTTGAAATATTGATTTTTAAAGTATTTCACTGAGTGCCCTACAAAGGGTTAAAAGAGAAACACTCCTTAAATATTAGAAAGATAGAAATCTTTAATGTCCCGATAGGGAATTTTTGCCTTAAAATGTTTGACAATGGCCTTTCACATAGACTCCAGAAAAAAACAACAACAGGAATGCAAGAAAGTAATCAGCAGACAAACTGTTTCCATCAACGCACCTTTGTTAGAAAAGCAGAATTAACAACAGCTTGTGGCTTATGTAGCTACATCCTCTGATGTGTTTTTATTGAGTTGTTTTATGTGTTTCTATGTACAATAGATGATTTCATCTTTGTATTAATTTTCAAATAACACAGAAAATACTAAGAATGCTTTGCTTTTGGGCTACAATAAATTATTGCAAATAGCAAAATGAACAATCTGATCATAGCTACACTAAGTTGTTCTGCACAAAATGCTTTGAAAGAAATTGTGAAAAAAGCTCTTAAGTCATTTGAAAATATTATTCTGTTGCATGTCTTGCTAAAGTATGTATAGCTTACTATATGCTTGCTTTGGAACAGCCAGTGAGTACTGCACTTAGCATTGGATCAATACATAAAGCTGACATTCTCCACTTCAATATGCCCAATAAAATATTCTGCTCAATAATGCATTGCTGCATTTGATATCTTCCATCCATCACGAATAAGGCATGTTATGTCCAAGATTGGCCACTAGATGGAAGTGTTGTACAATATTCAACATGGCATAATTCATATGTATTTAACAGAGGTAAAAGTAATAGATTTCTTTTGATTCAAAAAAATATCCAAGGAGCATTCTTTTGTATGCAACAGAGGGTGAAAGTACACTTTATTGTAATGTGAAGCGTGTCCAGTTGGGATTTTCCCCCCAGAGCTGTAGGAGCCAATCAGAGGCAGAGCCATAGTGTGCATGTTGGCTTGCAGAAGGGCGTGTTGTCCTTATTTAAACCACTGGCTTTGCAAGGATTACGCACAGGCGCATCTTACCTGGAAAGGACCGTTCCACAGAGCAACCCCTGTACAAGGTTAAAAAAAACTCTTTCTCCTCTATTATTTGTCATGTTCAACTTGACCTCTTTTGTAATTATCCAGAATCAATGAAAACCTAAAGAATGAATAATTTTATGAAATATCTGAAGTCTGATGAGTCTCTGTTAGGTTATATAACAATTTGCTGTAAAGCCTCTCTGTTCAGATGTTGCATGCAAACTGCCCCGTTATACCTGGTAGTTCCCTGACAGTGCTGTATTCTTCACTGCAAGGGAAGCTTGACTGCTAGGTCACCTAATGCTGCAGCTTTAGAGCGTCATGCCCTGAGCATCTAGGTGTGCTTGAGTTGTATTTGTTTTAGGGTGTAGACATCTCTTCTCATGCTATTACTCATTCCTTTGGAGCTGATAAGATTTTGTTGGGCTTATAAAATCTCACAAGGGTCCCTGCCTTGTGCATAATATATATTTGTGATGTCTTTTTGATTATGCTGTTAACACCTGCGTTGTTACCTCATTTCATACCGCACATTCAGTATTTATGTGTAATCCACACATAAATGCAAATCAGAGAACAGTTTTAGAGTATAACTGTATTTACATAATGTATAATGTATTTACCTAACTGTAAATGTGGAAATGGACTCTTAACAAGAGCTCTCTGTAAAGGTTTTTGCATGAAAGCAGAATAGCGCATATATTATCCCTTCAAATAGGTGGGACCCAGTCTACATGCACTCCTGATTTTGCATCTAATATTTGCATTATCTCGCCCTCTTTTCCCACAGAACTCTTCCAAAATGGGCGACAACAACCCAGTCTGTCCAGTCAATGAGGAAGTGGAGAAGTTCAACAAGCAAAAGCTAAAGAAGACAAACACACAAGAGAAAAACATGCTCCCAACCAAAGAGGGTAAGTGTTAAAGACAAAGAGGGACTGTTTGTGGGAGTGACAGCTTAACTAAAGTTGGCCTTGTTTCCACTCGTTTCACATTTCACCTCTTTTTTTTTTTTGTTGGCTCCATTATGCCCTGACTCCTCCCCTCCCATCACAAGCATTGCAACACAGATCAGAAAAAGGGGCACACCCAGCTACTTGAGAGCAAGTCCTTCTTTTCTACTAAATATACATCCATGACCTCACCCACATGTGATTGCTTTTTTATGTCCACACCTGTTTTCTTTCACAATCTGCATAAAAGAGTATTAAGGGCTTACATAATTAAAAAAAAGGAAATTTCTATTTTTTTTTTCTCCCCTGACATAGCTGTGAAAAGAAACCACAAAGATCAGTAACTCATTTAGCATCTCTTGCTCAGAATGCTCATCCTTTACCACCGGAGGCCCAGAACCTGATGTGCCTTTTGCTTAACCTAAATCTATCTCATTCACAGGGGATACACAGAAACAGGAAACTCTGTCTGCACATGTCCGCTTTTATTAGTTATTACTGGAACACGTTAAGGATGGACATAGCTTTATGATCACAGTAACACATGAGCAGTATTGGAATCAGGGTCATTTTTAAAGCAGGATAGTGACATGTTTGAATATAAGGAATATTATTTGACAAGATAGGCATCAAGATACACATCAGGTCAGTAAGTTAAAACAATGCTTGTTTGCCCCTATATTTGATAATTGAGTAATATAGTTTTGTTTCCTTCTGAATGCGTTAAATATAATCTAACAGATAGTGAAAGCCCCTAAATTATTTCACTGACATAATTTAAGCTGCCAAGATGAGGATACAATTCAAGCTAAATTTAGAAAAAGGAAACCAACCCATGTAACCCACAATAACATCACCTTGGCCTACTTGTAACCACAGTTACAAAGGGGCAGCACCTTTAGCACATAGAGTATTTGTCTATATGAAGACAAAAAAAAAGAAGATTTTGCAACATTTTCTGCAGTTGAAGTATGTTGAATTGTAGTTTGTGATCTGCATGAAGAACAATGGATGTCTGCATTTATATCTTGCACAAAAGTAAATTCCTGCCCATTTATCCCAGTATGCATGCACTAACCAGAAAGACAGAGTCTCAGAATGAAAAGATATACTTGAAAATCTAGATGGGACTAGAGGCTCCTGTAAAATTTTATTACATTTTCCCCCTTTAGACCTGCTTATCGTTTCTTTTTCATAATGCCCTCATACATAGCAAGGGAGGAAACAGTGTTAAAGTAGATGATAGGGCTATGTTATGGGATTAAATTATAGGTGTGGAAACCATCTGCTGTGGTTGTTGTCTCACTCACTAACTGCTCTACAACTGATGAAAATGTTGGAACATTAAATGTTTCTATGTTTCCTATTTTATCAGTTTTTTTTTCCTGTGAACACGCCCAATTGGCTGTGTGTTAGGACAACAGATAAAGTTTTATTCAAGCTCATATTGTGGACAAACAGTTAAATCTGCACACATATGGAAGAATAATCACAATAGTTTCCATTTATAAATAAAATATTACAAATCATTCACCTCAAAGTTAAACATATTTCATTTAAAAACTGGACCCATCTTGTGAAGTTTAACTAAAAAAATTTGCTTCCATTTAAACAAAAGAAAAAAAATGAAATCGATTGAAAACCATAATTAATGAAACGGTGCAATGTTATCACAGTTTAGTGTGGATTTTATGTTTGAGAACCAAAGTTTATATTCAGTAGTTTGGAATGAGGTCAGATTAGATTTAAAACTAATTTAGAGCAATGGAATGTGTTTAAAAAATTCACAATGAAAATCCAAGAGGTAAATTAAAACATTTTTTGGTTTAGTAATTTTATTACATGATATTGCTATTTAGAAGTTCACAATGGTTCAGATAATTGATTCTTAAACTTATGTGGTTCGACATGCACTATTGTAATTTGATTATATTATGAAAAAAATCCTTAGGTGAGGAATAAATAAGTTTCAAAAAAGGTGAAGAAATTGTAGGCAGCACTAATAATCCTAACAGAAAATAAATCGGAAAACAAAAATAGAGCTGAGGATGGATATTATAAATAAGTAAAGTAAATCTAACTTTGAGGAAGGCAGTTAATATCAAAAAGCTTTAAAACTTGTTTTTTCTTTCTTTTCACAAATTGAAAGCTTGTATTATAAGTCCATTTGGAAGAAAACTCTGATAGTTTTTCCACTTCTTTCTTGACCAAATTATTAAATACAGTCCTGGGGAAAAGAAAAAAAAAGAAAAACACTCTTGAATTTATCATTAAGCAATAAAATATGCAACACTAGGGATAAAAACATATTGTTGTTGTTTTTTTCTTTTTTGGGGGGATCAGACCGGCCCTTTACATGGAGGCCATATTGCCTGTATCACAGCCTACTACTGCCAAGATAATGAGCTGCAGCACAGATAACTTTAGCATGGTCATACTTCTACCTCAATTCTTTCTTACACTTCCCTGACCAAACAGGCAGGACATGAACATGAGTAATAGATAACTCTTCAAGGGGTAAATTAGAGGAATCTTTCTTTTTCTTGTCTAAACGCCCAACATTGCATGCTGCCATAGACGGAAAATAGTATCACCCATAGCTAAACCCATTGCTGTGTGCAGAACATCTATTTATAATACAACAAAATCAAATGGTGGTAAAACTGATTCTTTTTAAATATTTGTATTTCAGCTTTCACCCCATCATCCCGTCCTCAGACAGTGGTGGTATGCTAAAAGTAACTCCAGAGAAAACATTTTAATCTGTCTGCCTTTTGTTCATTACAGATATTGAAAAGGAAAAGATGGCCATGAAAGAGGGGGACAACTAAAACACTCCTGGCATCGTTCCTTCCTCTTCCGTCCTCCTCCATCCAATGCTTGTCATCCACTTCAACATCCTACCGTCTTTATCTTTACTGCTAATGTCTGTGCCACTCTATTCTATTAGAAATGGGGTCAAAGGTTACTCTGTCAGCATAATGCAATGTATATTAATGCAACGGATGCTCATTGTGCAATCTCTCTGCTTACTGTTGGGTGTAGGCTTCAACTACAATGCAACATTATAAATACTGGAAGCATCTATTTCACTTACTTACAATAAATGTTTGCCTGTAAATGGTGCATTTTATGGAAATGTAGTAAAGAATAAAGGACAACTGATATTTTTGTTTTAAAAAAAATTAATGTATTAAATTTGTTGCCTCCATGTTTGTGTTATGAGGGGGGAATTCCCTTTTTACACATGAAGTGTAAAGTCTCCACTGGCTCTCTAGTAGTTTTGTTAGAACATGCCTGACATTTCTTACATTCCAACAATTTGGACCAGATGTTTTGTTACTTTCAAATATCAGGTAAAACCGAGAGAACAGAATTACCAAATATTTAGTTTGCATAGCACCTTATTAAAACATTTAACATTCTCTTATGAAATCAGCATTGCTTATTTGGGGAGGATGCAGGATTCAACAAAAAAATTCCATTTTGGTTTACCTTACATAATGTTGGCTGGGAAGCAATACTTGATCCACCTTCTGTTTAGTTTTCTCTCTCAAAAACACAGAGATCTCCTTTGTAAGTTTTGGAAACCCAAAAATTTATTTTATTTTGTTGTTTTTAGCATTCTGAATGTCACTTGACCACCAACAGGTCTGAGCTCGTAGGGAGAGAGGATTGCTTCAGCATGCCCCTCCTGGTTGTCGAATATGTATTTTTGTCTTGAAATTTTGCTTTAGCAACCCTAAATGCACTACAGCATGCATTTCTTAAATAATGCAATACACAGAACAGACCAAACCTCCCATGCTTTTCTTGCTGTTGAGCTCCTGTTTTAATACAATGTTAGATTTGGAATTGTTTGTCTAAGACAGTTTTTAAAAACCTAAGCTTGTGTACGTTTTTTTCCATGCGGGCCTGTTGAGGCTTGCCTTTCCTGTAGCATGTAAGTAAACAACAACAGAAGCATCAATGCAAGTGGCCCACTATTTGCAGAGTTATTTTATTAAACCTAAAATTATATTTTTAAGCGTGAATAGTGTGAACTGAGAGGGAACCTGTCTGATCTTAGACAGACAGGTTCCAAAAGTTCCTTCCATTCTAAAGCTTTGGTAATGACCAGGCTATCGCTGAATACTGATAAAAGTGAAAACAGATTATTTAACAATTAATCAGAATTATGTAGATACAACAAGCAAGAAATGTATTTATTTGTCTATAGCTAAAGAGACTATATATCCTAATTTAATCAACATATAACCAGCTATGGTCTGTCGGGATAAACTAAGAGACAGAGTACTGCAGAGGAAACTGCTTCAGTGTCTCTGGTGTTTAATCTGTTGGAGTCTATGTTACTTGTCAAACAAGTTGTACGGGTATTTTTGCATTTACTACAGCTCACTGTGCTCATTTAAAACAGACAGAAACACACTAAAAACTTCTATGAGTTGTTGGCATAAAAAGGATTTGTTTGTGTGGTCTTCTAAAATAATCAATCTCAGAAATAACGGATATTTCAGAAATTGTTTTCTTCCTTGTCTCCGAAAAAGCACCCAGAGCAAAACCCTTTGTTTTTTATTTGTTTGTTTAAGTATTGTGGCATTTAATACATAAACAGGGAAACAAAATTGCTGCATTGGGTTAAGGTATTTTAGGGCTGGGGTGAGGGACAAAAAATAACATTTAAAATAACTATTTAATTCCACAATATATTTTATTATAGAGTTTAAAATAGCAGAATAGCAGAATGCACATATTTTTTTTTTTTTGGTCTGTCTAAATAAATAGTTTTAAATAGTAAATTGGATGTTACGAGATTACTTTTTTACTAATTTCTTGGGTGGCTACTTTTGACTCTTACTCAAGTAATAATACAACGACAGCACTGGTGTATCTTTACCTATAAAGCTATACTTGGTAAACTTCCAGGTACCTCTATGACCTCCTCTTTGTTTGCTCTGTTACCTGTTAACTACCGGTACGTTCCTCAGAGTGGTCGTTTTAAAATGTGCCATGAGTTGTTACCGAATTGGCAAAAACTGCCTTTTTATTTAGCACTTTCGGGGTGGAACAGTGGTGTCAAAAGTACAGACATTTGTTACTTAAGTAGAAGTATAGAAACAGCAGTTTAAAAACACTCTGGTAAAACAACTTGACCTCTTTACTTAAGTAAAAAGTAAAAAAAATATGTGCTCCAAAAACTACTTAAAGTATGAAAGCATAAAGTAACCTTTAAAAAAACATCCAGATGCTACTATATGAATCAATTTTTTGACTATTTCTAAAAATTCTTTGAGATAGGGCCAAGGATGAGGGAGGTTTTTTGGTCTCCATCTCCCAATAAGCTCTCATCTGTGTCCAACCTTTCAGACATTTCAACATCTTTTTCTGAATCCTACATTGTAGCATGGCAAAGACAATTCACAATTGCAGTTTTAGGAACACCTGATTGCTTCTGATGATTTCCTTTATCTAACCAATGAGTGTTTGCGTTATGTGACTCAACCAGTTACACTAGTTTTCACTAGATGTGGATGGAGCCAATGATTTGCATTGGATGGCGCACATGACTTGAAATAAATATTTATAAATATTAAATCAAAGCAACGAGTAACATGTGTTTTAAAAATGTAAGGAGTAGAAAGTATAGATATTTGTGTGAAAATGTAATGAGTAGAAGTCGGAAGTAGGAGGAAAAATAAGTAATGGAGTTAAGTATAGATACCTACAAAGTGTACTTAAGTACAGTAACAAAGTTTTTGTACTTCATTACTTGAAACCTCTGGGGTGGAATAATCTACAAAAAGAGAAAAAGTTAAAAACCGCCATGTCAATTAACACATTTAAAACTACTGCAAATAATGTTGTTGTGAGACATGCTCTTTTTTAAGAATCTCATCGTTGTTGTTTTTTTTTTTTTTTACATTGTTTGCTTCTTTTATCATGAAAATGAAACCTGATGTTTATTTTGATGTTTATTATGTAGGCATTTGTTTCATATTGGCTGCAAGCTTGGCTTTGTCTTTCTTGTAGAAGTGAATCTGGATCTCAATGGAACTTCCTGGTTGAATTAAAAAATTATAAAAATAAGTAGAGCTACTTATTAGCTACTTATTAGAGCTACTTCAGTACAATTTTTGGAGACTTCTCTCGTCTCTTCTAGAACCACCCATGGTAAAAACACATTTTTGGCAAATGTTTTAATTAGACGTCTTTAATGGATGCGAGAACTGATTGTTTCTTTTTGGTTTAATCCAGTGCTGTATTAGTAATAGTATCTTTACTACTAGTAGTCTTCAGAGGTGTCATGTAACGAAGTACAAATACTTCTGACAAATTTTCACACAAGTATCTGCACTTTCTATTCCTTACATGTTTAAAACAAACGTTACTTGTTACTCTTGGCTTAAGTTTAATGTTTATAAATATTTATTTCACATCATGTGCGCCATCCAATACAGATCATTGACTCCATCCACATCTAGTGAAAACTAGTGTGATTGGATGAGTCATATAACGCAAACACTCGTTGGTTAGCTAAAGGAAATCATCAGAAGCAAACAGGTGTTCTTCAAACTGCAAACATGAATTGTCTATGCCGGGGTGTTCAAGTCCAGTCCTCAAGAGCTACCATCCTGTAACTTTTAGATGCACACCTGAATCGACATGCTCAATCCCCTCATTTAGCCCAGCAGAGGCAAGGTAACGAGCCACCATTTGATTCAGGTGTGTTAAAAATGGGGTACATCAAAAAGTTGCAGGATAGTAGCCCTTGAGGACTGGACGTGTGCACCCCCGCTCTATGCCATGCTACAATGTCGGATTCAGAAAAAGATGTTGAAATGTCTGAAAGGTTGGACACAGATGAGGGCGTATCAGGAGATGGAGATGGAGACCAACAAGAACTCCCTCATCCTTGGCCCTATCTCAAAGAATTATTCAAAATAGTCGTAAAATTGAGCTTTCAATTCATATAGTGGCTGTTTTTTTTTTTTTACTTTTATGCTTTAAGTAGCTTTTGGAGAACATACTTTTTTACTTTTACTTGAGTAAAGAGGTCAAGTTGTCAACTTTTACCAGAGTATTTTTAAACTTCTACTTAAGTTCAGTCCAGTAGCTTTTATTTGTCCCAGTATGGGCATTTTTTGTGCAGTAGTAGTACACCTTTCACACGCACATTCACATTTCACAAATCACAGATAAAAAATAAAAGAAGAAACACAAGAAACACATAAAATATTTTCAAAAGATAAAAGTAAGGTGGATAAAAGAGAGAGAAAAAAATAAAATAAAAATATGTGCAGTGCAGGGGATGAATGAGAGCATAGGCCTATATGCATGCAACATATGGATATCTGCTTTTCCTAGTAGAGTTTAGCAGCTGAACAGCAGAAGGGAAAAAAGGAGTGTTTGTATCTATTGGTCTGAGCTGGTGGATATTTAAAACGGGAACCAGAGGGTAGAAACTAGAATTCATTATGTAGGGGATGGGTGTAATTATCCAAGATGGACTCAGCCTTCCTAATTATCTGATCTTCATACATTTCAGTCATGTTTTTCTGTTGAACACCCATGATCTTACTACACACCTTAAAAATCTTAGATATGGCATTTTTGTTCTTTACATTAAGAAGAGCGTACCAGCAGATGGCAGAGAAGGTAAGTATGGACTCTATAAAAGATCTTTAGAACATGGTCATTAGAGTTTTGTCAACTTGAACGTCCTGAGTAACAAATGTGTGTACTTTTGACACCACTGGAAGTCTTTAAAAACCTTTAACTAAAATAAAAAATAAATAATTAGAATGAAATACCCACTCTGTCCTCTGTTTTTAATGTTTGGAGCATTATAAAACTCTTCCTGTAGAAAATGTCACACAAAGCCCCATGTACACAGCGACATCTAGCGGTTATAATTCTACACTACATCAGCTTAATTGCAGCTCCCCGTTCTCCCATAAGGGGGCGCAAGCTAACAGGAGAAATCCAAGGGGGAGGGGCAAGTGATGCTCTGCTGCAGGTCTGTTCAACGGAACCGGGCTAACTACCCACAGGATTAAGCTAGTTAGCAACTGTACGATGCGTTCACCAGAAGCAGAGGATGGAATAGCAGCATCCCGGTGTCCCCGATTCACAGTCCGGACTGTCGCTTTCGGGATGCTTTCTCTGCGGTTGTAAC